AAAAAAAATTGTTAGGATATATATACATCTACTTTCTCTTATTTCAATGAGAAGAAAGATTTGTACTAACAGTGTTTAGATGAGATATCATGTCTGCATCTTGTACTATGAATAACCACTACGAAGACAACAATATGCAACTGTCCTACTAACCTATTTTGAACTTCTCTCATTGCTATTTCTTTCTCAATAAAATTAATTTTACAAAAGTTATTTTCAGTGAACATTTATGCTGGTTGTATATGTGAAATAAATTGTCTAATTGGCATATATTTTCCAATATTTTTGAAACAATGGAATAGATATTCTGGAAATTGGTTGAACTCTTCACTTCCTACTTTGCTTGCTCCTCCCTTTATATATCTAAATATTTATACATTTATTATTGTTTGTTTTGTCATCTAAGAGAAGCCATAGGGTATTTGTGCTGATAGATGAGACATCTTGTACTTAGCCTTCCAGTCTCAAATCGTGTCCGTCTGCCTACTCCTGCCTCAAGCTCACCTTTCCTCATGATGGCACGGTTCTCCGCTGGGTAGAGATAACAAATCTCCTTCATCCAGCCGTTTGTAGACAAGCACAGAGGGCGTTTCCAACACCAGCTATTGCTGATGTGCGGCTGCAGACACGCACATGTGGGTGTCCCTGTAATAGGAGGAGTTTAACTCCTTAAGAAGATGCCTAGAATGAGGAGAGCTGGTTCTAAATGAACAACAAGAAACCCTAGTGGGACTGTTGGGGACAACAACCTTCCACAGTGCTGGTGGGAACGTAAGGCAGTGCAGCCCGAGGGAGACCAGTGTGGAGAATCCCGGGGAGCCTTGATGGTGAGTCTCTGTACTGTGACTGATGAAGTTGACTCTGCATCCATCCCAGTCCTACAGGAAACACAGATCCATCCTCTGTCTCCTAAGATCAAAGAAGCATGTAATCAGTAGCTACACACTGTGCCATTCTTACTTGTTGCTGTGAGTGAGCACTCCTAGCCCTGCTTGTGTATAGTGAGAGGGTTACTGAGTCTCAGGTCCTTCCATCTGTGTTCATCATTATCTTTGTCTTGAGCTCTCAGGACAGAAGTAAATTAAGGATAATAAATTGGCTCTTTGGAGTTTAGCATAGAAGATAGGCACAAGGGGCTGGGGAGATACTTTAGAAGAATAAGTGCATACTTGCCTGGCAAGTGCAAAGGCCTCAGTTCAATCCCTGGCTCCATGAAAGAAAAAGGAAGATAGGCACAGATACACAGAGGAGAACTGGTGAAGACCTCAGAGTGCGCATGTTCCTGTGCCACTGGACACACTAGGACCGCGATTAAGGAAGGGCGCTGTGTCTCCGTGGGCTTTCCAGCCCCCATGCTTCCAACTCCCCAAACACTCCAGTAATCCTGGAATGGTGTCTGTCTTATAAAAAGAGCAGATAAAAGGCAATGTAGAAATTTCCCATTAAGTGTGAGAATTAGAGAAGTTATCATATTTAGAAGCAAGTAAATGACATAGGCCATCAGATATCAGCCAACCTGGAAAGTGCAGACTGATATTTTTGAACTGCACACATGGCCTTTTCTGACCCTGAGTCATGAACCTCAATGGGGAAGCAAAGCTGGGATCAGACTGAACAGCAGCATGCTGGGTGAGTGTTCCCAAAAGGTTTCCCCGAAGTCTCCTCTGTTTGATGGGTGATCTGATGCCCCGTGCTTGTAGGCACTATGGAGCTCAGGAGCTGAGTGCTCTGTTAGGGGCTGGGTCTGCTTAGCCTGAGTCACTGTGCGTGTGGCCTACATGGGTGCTCCTTGTCCCCAGCTCTCCTCTCTCTGGATCTTGGCTGCCTGGGATGAGCAGCAGGCCTCACCAAGTACCTCCCACTGTGCCCTCTCTACTTTAAAATTAGGCAACTGTGGACTGAATGCTCTAAAAGCAGGAACACAAACTCAACCTACACATTCCACAAGCAAGTCAGCATCTGAACTCCACCATCAAATTCCATGACTCAACTTCCCGGAGATAATAAACTCTTCCTTTCATTGAAATTTGAAAGACGTATTCAAATCTGTGCTACAGGTGCTGCCTAGGTGAGCAGCATCCAGAGACTCCTTGGCCAATCCCCTGCTACCCGAATTGCCAGTGAGCTTCCAAGCCTGGCCTCCACTGAGCAAGCTCTCAGCAGGGGGAGGAGCCAGGAGGAGAGCGGGGCGGCCCAGCCTCATATTGCTGCTTCCCTGCTTGGTTTACATGCAGGCTGTGGCCCTGCGGGGGGCCAGCGCCTGTAGACAGTGATTCACAGCAACATCTTCTAGGTGCTGATGCTGAGAGGGAAACCTGTCCAGACCCGCTACTCCTGAACCTGAATGGGACCCATTTGCAATCCGGAGCCAACACAGACCAGCAGTTTAGGGTATGGCACTGGATTTGTTGAGAAGAGATTAAGTCATGGGGTTTTGTTGTTGTTGTTTTGATTTGGTTTGGTTTGGTTTGGTTTTTAATGTGTTTAGTACAGGGTCTACAGGGTCTCACTATGCAGATCAGACTCATAGTGATTCTCTTTTTTTCAGCCTCCCAAGTACTAGGATTACAGGTGCCCACCACCATGCCCAGTCTTGATTGTGGTCTCAGTGTGTCCCCAGGTTGGGGCTGGTACTGCATGCCCGAGATCCAACCCCAGTC